AAACGGCTCCATATCCTGCTGAATAGCCTCCATGTTGCTACGTAACTTGGCTGTTTCTTCGTTGTGACTCTCGAAAATACCCTGTAGCACTTGCTCTTGAGTTTCGCCTGCAATTTCTCAACCTCCTTTTCCAACTCCGGCACTAGCTCTTCATTTTCGTGCACTTTTTGCCCAAATTGTTTTTCTGTTTCTTTAGCTCTTTCTTCTGCATTGACTGCAGCTCCTTCTGCTGTTCCTTGGCGTATTTTAGCTCTTCTCGCAACTTCGCTTCTTGCTTTTTAAAGTCAGCGTATTTCGACTTTGTCTCGTCCACTTGTTTGGCAAGCTCTTCACTCGTTGGTACAAAGCTTCAACAGACTGCAATTCTTCACGGTTTGTCGACATGCGTGCTAGCTCTGCTTGAATTAGGCCTGCAACTCATCACGTTTAGACTCACACAACTTGCGGTTCTTTGACGCCTCTTGGATCCAAAATTGGTACAGAATGTTTGTTGTCATGTACCCTTCCTTCTCTTTACGGAGATACTCAAGCGCTTCGGCACGAAATCCTTCCAGATGTGGGTTTTGCCATGAATTACTGCCTGATCTCATTGACGGTTCGCCATCTGCACGCTTCTCATTCTGGTCTTCTTCGAGCCTGCGCAGGTTCACTTCGGCTCGACTATACCGCAGGCGTTGGCTTCAAGTGCCTTCTTACAGGCTCCTCTACAAGCTGGATCTACGTCCGTTGTGCTGATCACTGACCGCAAAGCATTCATTTCTGTCCAAAACGGCTCCATATCCTGCTGAATAGCCTCCATGTTGCTACGTAACTTGGCTGTTTCTTCGTTGTGACTCTCGAAAATACCCTGTAGCACTTGCTCTTGAGTTTCGCCTGCACTTTCTCAACCTCCTTTTCCAACTCCGGCACTAGCTCTTCATTTTCGTGCACTTTTTGCCCAAATTGTTTTTCTGTTTCTTTAGCTCTTTCTTCTGCATTGACTGCAGCTCCTTCTGTTGTTCCTTGGCGTATTTTAGCTCTTCTCGCAACTTCGCTTCTTGCTTTTTAAAGTCAGCGTATTTCGACTTTGTCTCGTCCACTTGTTTGGCAAGCTCTTCACTCGTTGGTACAAAGCTTCAACAGACTGCAATTCTTCACGGTTTGTCGACATGCGTGCTAGCTCTGCTTGAATTAGGCCTGCAACTCATCACGTTTAGACTCACACAACTTGCGGTTCTTTGACGCCTCTTGGATCCAAAATTGGTACAGAATGTTTGTTGTCATGTACCCTTCCTTCTCTTTACGGAGATACTCAAGCGCTTCGGCACGAAATCCTTCCAGATGTGGGTTTTGCCATGAATTACTGCCTGATCTCATTGACGGTTCGCCATCTGCACGCTTCTCATTCTGGTCTTCTTCGAGCCTGCGCAGGTTCACTTCGGCTCGACTATACCGCAGGCGTTGGCTTCAAGTGCCTTCTTACAGGCTCCTCTACAAGCTGGATCTACGTCCGTTGTGCTGATCACTGACCGCAAAGCATTCATTTCTGTCCAAAACGGCTCCATATCCTGCTGAATAGCCTCCATGTTGCTACGTAACTTGGCTGTTTCTTCGTTGTGACTCTCGAAAATACCCTGTAGCACTTGCTCTTGAGTTTCGCCTGCACTTTCTCAACCTCCTTTTCCAATTCCGGCACTAGCTCCTCATTTTCCTGCACTTTTTGCCCAAATTGTTCTTCTGTTTCTTTAGCTCTTTCTTCTGCATTGACTGCAGCTCCTTCTGCTGTTCCTTGGCGTATTTTAGCTCTTCTCGCAACTTCGCTTCTTGCTTTTCAAAGTCAGCGTATTTCGACTTTGTCTCGTCCACTTGTTTGGCAAGCTCTTCACTCGTTGGTACAAAGCTTCAACAGACTGCAATTCTTCACGGTTTGTCTACATGCGTGCTAGCTCTGCTTGAATTAGGCCTGCAACTCATCACGTTTAGACTCACACAACTTGCGGTTCTTTGACGCCTCTTGGATCCAAAATTGGTACAGAATGTTTGTTGTCATGTACCCTTCCTTCTCTTTACAGAGATACTCAAGCGCTTCGGCACGAAATCCTTCCAGATGTGGGTTTTGCCATGAATTACTGCCTGATCTCATTGACGGTTCGCCATCTGCACGCTTCTCATTCTGGTCTTCTTCGAGCCTGCGCAGGTTCACTTCGGCTCGACTATACCGCAGGCGTTGGCTTCAAGTGCCTTCTTACAGGCTCCTCTACAAGCTGGATCTACGTCCGTTGTGCTGATCACTGACCGCAAAGCATTCATTTCTGTCCAAAACGGCTCCATATCCTGCTGAATAGCCTCCATGTTGCTACGTAACTTGGCTGTTTCTTCGTTGTGACTCTCGAAAATACCCTGTAGCACTTGCTCTTGAGTTTCGCCTGCAATTTCTCTACTTCCTTTTCCAATTCCGGCACTAGCTCCTCATTTTCCTGCACTTTTTGCCCAAATTGTTCTTCTGTTTCTTTAGCTCTTTCTTCTGCATTGACTGCAGCTCCTTCTGCTGTTCCTTGGCGTATTTTAGCTCTTCTCGCAACTTCGCTTCTTGCTTTTCAAAGTCAGCGTATTTCGACTTTGTCTCGTCCACTTGTTTGGCAAGCTCTTCACTCGTTGGTACAAAGCTTCAACAGACTGCAATTCTTCACGGTTTGTCTACATGCGTGCTAGCTCTGCTTGAATTAGGCCTGCAACTCATCACGTTTAGACTCACACAACTTGCGGTTCTTTGACGCCTCTTGGATCCAAAATTGGTACAGAATGTTTGTTGTCATGTACCCTTCCTTCTCTTTACAGAGATACTCAAGCGCTTCGGCACGAAATCCTTCCAGATGTGGGTTTTGCCATGAATTACTGCCTGATCTCATTGACGGTTCGCCATCTGCACGCTTCTCATTCTGGTCTTCTTCGAGCCTGCGCAGGTTCACTTCGGCTCGACTATACCGCAGGCGTTGGCTTCAAGTGCCTTCTTACAGGCTCCTCTACAAGCTGGATCTACGTCCGTTGTGCTGATCACTGACCGCAAAGCATTCATTTCTGTCCAAAACGGCTCCATATCCTGCTGAATAGCCTCCATGTTGCTACGTAACTTGGCTGTTTCTTCGTTGTGACTCTCGAAAATACCCTGTAGCACTTGCTCTTGAGTTTCGCCTGCACTTTCTCAACCTCCTTTTCCAACTCCGGCACTAGCTCTTCATTTTCGTGCACTTTTTGCCCAAATTGTTCTTCTGTTTCTTTAGCTCTTTCTTCTGCATTGACTGCAGCTCCTTCTGTTGTTCCTTGGCGTATTTTAGCTCTTCTCGCAACTTCGCTTCTTGCTTTTTAAAGTCAGCGTATTTCGACTTTGTCTCGTCCACTTGTTTGGCAAGCTCTTCACTCGTTGGTACAAAGCTTCAACAGACTGCAATTCTTCACGGTTTGTCGACATGCGTGCTAGCTCTGCTTGAATTAGGCCTGCAACTCATCACGTTTAGACTCACACAACTTGCGGTTCTTTGACGCCTCTTGGATCCAAAATTGGTACAGAATGTTTGTTGTCATGTACCCTTCCTTCTCTTTACGGAGATACTCAAGCGCTTCGGCACGAAATCCTTCCAGATGTGGGTTTTGCCATGAATTACTGCCTGATCTCATTGACGGTTCGCCATCTGCACGCTTCTCATTCTGGTCTTCTTCGAGCCTGCGCAGGTTCACTTCGGCTCGACTATACCGCAGGCGTTGGCTTCAAGTGCCTTCTTACAGGCTCCTCTACAAGCTGGATCTACGTCCGTTGTGCTGATCACTGACCGCAAAGCATTCATTTCTGTCCAAAACGGCTCCATATCCTGCTGAATAGCCTCCATGTTGCTACGTAACTTGGCTGTTTCTTCGTTGTGACTCTCGAAAATACCCTGTAGCACTTGCTCTTGAGTTTCGCCTGCACTTTCTCAACCTCCTTTTCCAATTCCGGCACTAGCTCCTCATTTTCCTGCACTTTTTGCCCAAATTGTTCTTCTGTTTCTTTAGCTCTTTCTTCTGCATTGACTGCAGCTCCTTCTGCTGTTCCTTGGCGTATTTTAGCTCTTCTCGCAACTTCGCTTCTTGCTTTTCAAAGTCAGCGTATTTCGACTTTGTCTCGTCCACTTGTTTGGCAAGCTCTTCACTCGTTGGTACAAAGCTTCAACAGACTGCAATTCTTCACGGTTTGTCTACATGCGTGCTAGCTCTGCTTGAATTAGGCCTGCAACTCATCACGTTTAGACTCACACAACTTGCGGTTCTTTGACGCCTCTTGGATCCAAAATTGGTACAGAATGTTTGTTGTCATGTACCCTTCCTTCTCTTTACAGAGATACTCAAGCGCTTCGGCACGAAATCCTTCCAGATGTGGGTTTTGCCATGAATTACTGCCTGATCTCATTGACGGTTCGCCATCTGCACGCTTCTCATTCTGGTCTTCTTCGAGCATGCGCAGGTTCACTTCGGCTCGACTATACCGCAGGCGTTGGCTTCAAGTGCCTTCTTACAGGCTCCTCTACAAGCTGGATCTACGTCCGTTGTGCTGATCACTGACCGCAAAGCATTCATTTCTGTCCAAAACGGCTCCATATCCTGCTGAATAGCCTCCATGTTGCTACGTAACTTGGCTGTTTCTTCGTTGTGACTCTCGAAAATACCCTGTAGCACTTGCTCTTGAGTTTCGCCTGCAATTTCTCTACTTCCTTCTCCAATTCCGGCACTAGCTCCTCATTTTCCTGCACTTTTTGCCCAAATTGTTCTTCTGTTTCTTTAGCTCTTTCTTCTGCATTGACTGCAGCTCCTTCTGCTGTTCCTTGGCGTATTTTAGCTCTTCTCGCAACTTCGCTTCTTGCTTTTCAAAGTCAGCGTATTTCGACTTTGTCTCGTCCACTTGTTTGGCAAGCTCTTCACTCGTTGGTACAAAGCTTCAACAGACTGCAATTCTTCACGGTTTGTCTACATGCGTGCTAGCTCTGCTTGAATTAGGCCTGCAACTCATCACGTTTAGACTCACACAACTTGCGGTTCTTTGACGCCTCTTGGATCCAAAATTGGTACAGAATGTTTGTTGTCATGTACCCTTCCTTCTCTTTACAGAGATACTCAAGCGCTTCGGCACGAAATCCTTCCAGATGTGGGTTTTGCCATGAATTACTGCCTGATCTCATTGACGGTTCGCCATCTGCACGCTTCTCATTCTGGTCTTCTTCGAGCCTGCGCAGGTTCACTTCGGCTCGACTATACCGCAGGCGTTGGCTTCAAGTGCCTTCTTACAGGCTCCTCTACAAGCTGGATCTACGTCCGTTGTGCTGATCACTGACCGCAAAGCATTCATTTCTGTCCAAAACGGCTCCATATCCTGCTGAATAGCCTCCATGTTGCTACGTAACTTGGCTGTTTCTTCGTTGTGACTCTCGAAAATACCCTGTAGCACTTGCTCTTGAGTTTCGCCTGCACTTTCTCAACCTCCTTTTCCAATTCCGGCACTAGCTCCTCATTTTCCTGCACTTTTTGCCCAAATTGTTCTTCTGTTTCTTTAGCTCTTTCTTCTGCATTGACTGCAGCTCCTTCTGCTGTTCCTTGGCGTATTTTAGCTCTTCTCGCAACTTCGCTTCTTGCTTTTCAAAGTCAGCGTATTTCGACTTTGTCTCGTCCACTTGTTTGGCAAGCTCTTCACTCGTTGGTACAAAGCTTCAACAAACTGCAATTCTTCACGGTTTGTCGACATGCGTGCTAGCTCTGCTTGAATTAGGCCTGCAACTCATCACGTTTAGACTCACACAACTTGCGGTTCTTTGACGCCTCTTGGATCCAAAATTGGTACAGAATGTTTGTTGTCATGTACCCTTCCTTCTCTTTACAGAGATACTCAAGCGCTTCACGAAATCCTTCCTATCGCACATCGAAGGTGTCGGCTATAGGGGTACCCTTCTTTGGACCGGCGTTTGATTCTACAGTACAACTTGTCTAAAATGTTTCTGCACTTACTGATAACCTGTCTAATCTGCTAACCTATGGTCAATCCCGAGAACGTCCATCCAATTAGTATAAAACTGCCGTATTTGGTAGCCTTTATTATCTTATAAAACCTTTTAGTGTCAGCTTAGACAGGTTCTTCTGTACTATATACACTGCTGAGGCTTTGATTACACGTAAGAAACTGCAACTCTTGCAGATGAAAAAGAATTGGACCCTACTGCCTATTTTTCAATCGTGTAAGTGAACTAGAAGGCGAACCCTTACCCTCACAAATTTCATGTATCCATTCCGTTACCTGAATTTCAAGAAAAATTTGGCAATGTAGAAGCTGGTGGCCATATCACTGAGACCGTCTCAGTTGCTGGTCGACTTGTCAACTTCGTAATAAACGTTCTTCTGGAGCGAAATTGGTCTTTTATGATCTTCGTACCGATGGAAAAAGCTTCAAAATAATGTCGGACATTGGATCCGATGAAAATGACCAAGCTTCTATCAAAATCCACAGCATTTTACGTCGTGGAGATATCATAGGGGTCTAAGAGTACCCTGGTAAATCCAAAAAGGGTGAATTGCCGTATCCATTTATCGCAACAATTGGTACTATTGGTCTCCTTGTGTGCACATGCTGTCAAAAAGTCGTACTGGACTCACTCTTCAACAGGACACACGGTATCGTCAAAGGTGATTGGATCTTATTATGAATGATGACACGCGTGGAGCATTGTCACTTGAGCCAAGATCATAAACGCCATTCGTCGATTTTGGTGCGATAAGAACTTTTAGAAGTTGAGACTCAAATGGTGTAAATGATTGTCGGAGGTGCTGCTGCAAAACCTTTTGTTACGTATCACAATGATCTGCACATGAACTTGTTTAACCGTTAAGTTTATGGAGAGCGTGCGTTTTCACCAGTGAAATGCCCGTCATCCGTGCCAGCATCGATGAGCTGCTCACGTTGATCCGCCTTCATGCTGTAACGCTCGTAGATGGCTTCAACCTCTCGGATCACATGTTGAACTCGACACTCGACCGGTATGACGGTAACGTATACGAGGCTCTGTAAAAGTCTGCACAGCACGATCCTCTGAATCACTCGTCGGACAAGGTCGCGGTGTACGAGTCGCTACGGCCGATTCGCGTTGAAATATCACAGTCATGTCTGGAAGAGGTTGATGTTAAAGAGATTTGGGTCGTCTACTTGAAAAACTAAGTACACACGACTTTCTACTGTAAGAAGCCACGATTTGTGCAATGCCATTTGCCACAACGTGCGAATTAACTTCAACATGGACGATACAACGATCAAGTCACTGACAAGCGAAGCTTAGTGATTTGTCATTAAATTTGCGTTGTGGTTTGCACCTCAAGATTGACTTGTCAGTGGCACTAAGCTCAGTGATCAAGATGACTGAACTTGGGCTTCTTCTGAGCAATCCGACGGTGGCGATGGAGAATGGGTAGACGGTAATGCCATGCAAGATTTGACTTTTGGAGGGACTGAGACAATTGCAAATAATAGCGACGTAGTAAGCGAAGAAGCAGCAGCACCCGGTCGATGTGGAATCCTGATGGGTAATGTCGGCTGCACATGTAAGGAGGAGTACATCAACCAAACCAATTCCTCCTCGTTACTGTCTTCATCCTCGATGTGCTCCTCCTTTTGCTCATCGATTGCTTCGTTTCGATCAGCATTCTTGCTCTTCTTTCGACGCTTCCGAGCGGGCAAATCTGATTCATTCTCGAAAACACTCGCACTGTGCTTCTTGCTCCGTGATGAAAGCTGTATGGAGAGACGTGAGTTTTGCTTCCCAGTATGTCTCTTTGCGTTTTCATCCTCAGCATTTCTTCGCAGTCCTTCAAGCTGTTGGATAGATCAACTTCTGCACTTGCCATCCCGTCGTACTCCTTCTTTAGCTTTCGGTACTTTGACTCGTCCTTGCGGAGTCTTCTCTCTTTCGCAGTAACCTGCTCTTGAATCGCATTGCACTTCTCGCGGACTGCAAGACCTTTCTCCTTCATTGCAGTAATCTGCTCACGCGTGCGTTTAATCTTCGTTTTCGCTGATTCGATATCCTCCTCAATCTTCTTTAGGGCCTGCTCATTCTTTTCGGTGTTCTTTTAGCTGCTCTGAAAGTTACGCGAATCTTGGTCAGCTGTTTCGTTTAATCAGTAATTTGCTTCGTGATTTTTTGCCACACCCTGCTCCATGCGCAGTTTCTCACCACCGCCTGACATTGCGCCGGACATCTCCACCAACTGTCCGTCTAAAGTCACGACACGATATTTGTATTGGCGTCCTTGATAAGCAATCGCTGAAGCCTCATCCAGGTCTTTAGTCACCAGTGTGTCACGCAGGGCATAATAAAACGCTGGCAGGTACTTGTCATCATTCACTTTCACCAACTTAAACAGTCGCGGTGCTTGGTGTCCGGAAGGAGCACTGACATCACGAAAATGCTAAGTATACTTCGCCTTCAGATAACCCAGTTGCTCCAAAATCAGGAACGTAGTGCATCCCAAGTTATGCTTACGTAGATATGCCACACACGCTTGCGCGCCCGAAGTCGTCGCAACAACCAAATTGTTAAGCGCGCCACAAGCAGTTGAGATGGCGACGTTGTACTTGCCCTCGATTGCACCAAGGTCACCCAGGCGACCGAAAAGCCCAGAATATTCAAGTGGCATACCTGGTTTGGATGCATCAAGAAGCTCCCGTAGCATACGGCTCCGAGTTGCATGTGATTGCACCGCGATAGAGGCCTCTTCAGCTTTTGTGCGCGTCTCACGGTATTTCTCTGCAACAGAGGTATCTTTGCCTTTTACGTCGTCCAACTCTTGCTCAGCGACGACACGACAATGCCGTCCTTCATCTTGGCGGCGAGCTTTGCACGCTTCTCATTCTGGTCTTCTTCGAGCCTGCGCAGGTTCACTTCGGCTCGACTATACCGCAGGCGTTGGCTTCAAGTGCCTTATTAGCGTTAGTCACAGGCTCCTCTACAAGTTGGATCTCCGTCTTCTCTACAAGCTGGATCTACGTCCGTTGTGTTGATCACTGACCGCAAAGCATTCATTTCTGTCCAAAACGGCTCCATATCCTGCTGAATAGCCTCCATGTTGCTACGTAACTTGGCTGTTTCTTCGTTGTGACTCTCGAAAATACCCTGTAGCACTTGCTCTTGAGTTTCGCCTGCAATTTCTCTACTTCCTTTTCCAACTCCGGCACTAGCTCTTCATTTTCCTGCACTTTTTGCCCAAATTGTTCTTCTGTTTCTTTAGCTCTTTCTTCTGCATTGACTGCAGCTCCTTCTGCTGTTCCTTGGCGTATGTTAGCTCTTCTCGCAACTTCGCTTCTTGCTTTTCAAAGTCAGCGTATTTCGACTTTGTCTCGTCCACTTGTTTGGCAAGCTCTTCACTCGTTGGTACAAAGCTTCAACAGACTGCAATTCTTCACGGTTTGTCTACATGCGTGCTAGCTCTGCTTGAATTAGGCCTGCAGCTCATCACGTTTAGACTCACACAACTTGCGGTTCTTTGACGCCTTTTGGATGCACAATGGGTACAGAATGTTTGTTGTCATGTACACTTCCTTCTCTTTACGGAGATACTCAAGAACTTCTGCACGAGGTCCTTCCAGATGTGGGTTTTGCCATGGATTACTGCCTGATCTCATTGACGGTTCGCCATCTGACCGACAGGCGATTGGTCGCGCTATTCGGCCAGGGGGTCTGATATTCGAGACGCACCCGCTGCGTCATCGGTTCCCTTGGTCTGTTCCGGACACAACATCGAATCACTTCATCACGAAGGCCTCAGGCAAGCAAGCTTTCCGATTTCTACAAAAAAGTTTTTGCCCGTCAACTTTCGGTTCTCGTTGATCGCCTTTCACAATCGGCAACGACGGATGCGCAGCGCTCCGGCAAACGCCGACGCAAGTGTGGGACCATAGTAATGGTCTCACTCCATATCAAGTCTGGACAGGATACCGGGTGGCGACAAGACAATTAAATCTATATCACGACGCGAGAATCGAACACAATAGTTGCAGAAAAACACCGGATTGCAGCGGCAGGACAAAGACCATTGCCCATCTGTTCTGTGAATGTGATTGCGCTGCAGCGCTTTTGAAAGAGCTCGTTGGTCACTGGACCGGGCAAAAAGTCATCCGTCAATTGACCCAAATCGTTCGGGGGGCCTGTACCAGTCGACAAGTTGACAGCATACCCGAGTACCGCACGAAAATCCTAGCGGACCGATTTCAGGATGACGCCAATGAAGCCGAACGCGTCTGGACACAAACTTGGCATGTCCTCGCGACGATATGCCCATCACGGATTTAGATAGACAGGAATGCAGCCGTCTTCAAGGCTGTCACACGCCACATTCCCAGCAGCATCGCCAGTATTTGGGCCTCGTACCTGTGTCAGCTCCGAGCAATCGTAAAGAGAGAGCGTAGAACAATTACGTCAGACACACGTGGTGCCTTTCTTTATGCTTGCATTGAATTGCTTGAGCGCGACCCTAGAGGGCCACCGAGTTCTACGGTAGCTAGCCACGATATACCGTCGGGTCATTCGGCGCTGATATCCTGGCTCAGGACTTTCTAGAGCTCATGCACATAGTTACCACCGTGTAAATGGACAATCTGAACCTTTCTCTCTCTCTCTCTCTCTCGCTTACCTCTTCTGATTCCAACATCACATAGGCAGGTGTTTTGCTTACGGAAACAACCGTCCAGCTTGGAATTCGAGTAGTATATACTTGCCAACTCCATCGTCTGAAGCGTAGATATTTTGACGCCTGCTGCTGTGCGGCGTTTCTGGATTAGTATCAGTACTTCAAGTTGATATGGTAAGTCATAACAAGGCCCTTATAGTACTTTCTTGCCATCTTCAATGGAGGTGGCACCGCCTCTGTAAAGCCTTTATACCTAAATCATCGTAAATATGAGTATGCAAGTACATACATGTATGTACTGTATCCATACGTTATGGAGACGCCAGCTTATGTGTTATCAGGTTAGACCTCTAAAGGGGCCCCAGCAATAGCACGATGTATGGATAACTGTAGGCCAGATTGCTTGTCATTGTTCGTCAAGCAGATTTAACGTGGCAATGCAGCCGAGCCAACACCTGGAATCCGGCAAGTGGGGACAATGTCAACGACCAATCGATATCGAATGATATCAACGTTGTGCCGTCTGCCAGCATTTGACTCACCATCATTATAATTGAGACCCAAGCACCCGATCTCCTCCATGGCACCGGCCACTAGCTGAGTTTTGATCATTATTCCTCCTGATCAAATCGAGTTTAGTACAACAAACGGGCTAATAAGATTAATTCTTGGCCTTTTGGTCTTAGTCGTGCGCCTGGTCAGACAGAGCGACCGCTTCCGGTTGGATTGAGCATACCAATATCACTCGGGCACCGGAAGCAGATGATATTGAAGAAAGAATATCGACCCCAATTTCGACTTTTCTAGCGTATGATTTGAAATGCTACAATTGCATTTCATGATCATTAGACGTTTGACAGTCGTAAATGTGACTGGTGTTGTGACTGATGGAGTTAAGACAGCGCAAGAGGCTACTACATGTGGCGACGCGATTATCACCATTTTGCGGTGGCACGGTCCTAAGAGTTAATACAACAGCGTGGTTGATACAGTATTAACTAAAAGCTGCTGAGGGTTTAATTACACGTAAGAAACTACAACTCTTGCAGATGAAGAAGAATTGGACCCTACTGCCTATTTTTTCAATCGTGTAAGTGAACTAGAAGGTGAACCCTTACCATCACAAATTTCATGTATCCATTTCGTTACCTGAATTCCAAGAAAAATTTGGCAATGAAGAAGCTGGTAGTCATCACTCAGGCGGTTTTGACACCACTCAGGCGGTTTTGACACCACTCAGGCGGTTTTGACCCCACTCTGGCCGATTCTGCATCGACCGTTTATATTGCTATGCGCGCGTCAAGTAATTCATCTAGTCATGGCTTATTACAGAGTCCGGTATCAGCCATGGCTTGATTGTCCTAAATAGGGCAACTATTGCTCAGCAGTCTAAAAAGCTTTCTTTCCGTGCATGATTACGAGCACAGTTTGTTTTTGTCGTCGCACCATGTACACAAGTCCATCAATCACCAATTGCTTCAAATACAGCTTAAGATCCACACGCATGAACAAATTCATGTGCAGATCATTGTGATACGTAACAAAAGGTTTTGCAGCAGCACCTCCGACAATCATTTTCACCATTTGAGTCTCAACTTCCAAAAAGTTCTTATCGCACAAAAATCGACGAATGGCGTTTATGATCTTGGCTCAAGTGAAAATGCTCCACGCATGTCATCATTCATAATAAGATCCAATCACCTTTGACGATACCGTGTGTCCTGTTGAAGAGTGAGTCCAGTACGACTTTTTGACAGCATGTGCACACAAGGAACCAATAGTACCAATTGTTGCGATAAATGGATAATTCACCCTTTTTGGATTTACCAGGGTACTCTTAGACCCCTAGGATATCTCCACGACGTAAAATGCTGTGGATTTTGATAGAAGCTTGGTCATTTTCATCGGATCCAATGTCCGACATTATTTGAAACTTTTTCCATCGGTACGAAGATCATAAAAGACCAATTTCGCTCCAGAAGAACGTTTACTATGAAGTTGACCAGCAACTGAGACGGTCTCAGTGCTAGACGGACACGAAGCAACTGCGTTGCACTTTCAGGGTATCACGAGCTGATCGGCCACACGACGATGTACGTGCTCATGTTCATAAAGATCCTAGGCTATTGTTCACGGACAAATATGGATAAAGATGGCCAAGGTGGCGCATGATTGGATGCTAAGCCCAGACGCAGATGGCGTGGGTCTAACGTGCGCGAACTAGAGACAACAGCCACGTACATTTCGAGTTCGCAATCCAATCGCTTACGCTGAGGTCCATGAAGTGTGGCCTGGTGCTTTAGCACGTATCGCCAACTTTGGAGTGGTATATGCGAAATTGCTGC